AGGCACAGAAATTAACCATTCTAAAGTAGAATAAATCTCAAGACATTGAGCTTTTAGTACATCCGCGTAATGGTTTGCTATGTAGGATGGGGAAGAAGTTATATCGTTTTAAACATAGTCAAAAATGCAAACTTCCTGACCGACACCGGCAAAGTCGCTTCTGGGATCATTAACCCTTTGACCCCGAGCCGGGGAGCTCCGGCGGGCTGCTGAGTCACGCTAACTAAAAGTAACAGAATCGGGCAAAAAGTGACGCCGTGAGTGGTACGAAGATCTGTCCAGATCAGTCGGACAGAATCACAAAGTCAATAATGTATTGGAACTCTGAATCTGTTCCAGTGTACACGTTTATATATCAAAGTAGTACAGAACCAGCACAGATTGTGGCTTTCTTATTGGTGTCTCTTATGAAATTATTTTGTCTCTTACAGACATTTCAACACGAAGCCTTAAAGATGTTGTGTGCTGTGTCTCAATATAAGCGATATGATCTGTGCTGCAGTGTAATTTGTAATGATTTGGTTCTTCCCCTTGCTCTCAAAAGCAGCGCCCAGTTGCCACCTGAAACAGATATTTTATCAGTGATGCTCATGTGGACTTGCCATACAGAAACGTGTCTGAAAAATGGCCTTGTGCAAAATTTCTAGCCACTTCACTGAAAACACAGAACCCTTCAAGTTATCTAGTTTTCACACACTGTTTGGTATCTTTTTTGTGCGTTTTCCGTTTTGTTTATGCTTCAGTAAAGTTGTCAACTGTTGATTTTACATTTGTTCTAGCTATGTACATGGGCTTCTAAGTCAGTGACCTTGTCGCCTTAGCAAGAATAGTTGATTGAAAATAGTTTATGATAGTACCCTCTCAAGCTACAGCAATAGGCAAGTATTTTTGCCTCTTTTAATGATTTTATCTACACTTTGATGTATAATTTTTTTATGTATTTAATGTACAAGCTATTGTGAGACAATGTTGGTGGATGAATTGCAGAAATTGACGAATATGAAGTTTTCTTGTTTTTTTGTTCATGAGAATTTATTTTTGTAGTTCGTCAATTTTTATGTCATGATTGATGTTTGAACTAAAAGAAAATATTGGGTTTTTTTAAATAATAAGAATATCTCCAGGGTGTGGAGTTTTGATGTGGTTTATGAAGCTGCTCTGATATGAACTGTGCTGAGCTGCAGAGGCTGCATATTGAATGTTCGACTTTTGTTCTGACAAAAGTGATATGTGAAATGCTTTTGGAAGAAGTCACATAAAATGCTAGCTATTTTTTTTAATTTGTGAAAATCAGATCATGATATGCTGGGGAGGAACTGCATGAAATGCTTGTCTTGTCTTATTAAGATGTGAAGGGTAATTTCACGATTTTTAAAGTGATAGCTTTAGGATCAATGCTGTAACCCTTGCTGTGTTAACTCTTTTTTTTTTACCACCCCAGAGACTGAGCCTTTCCAAGGAAAAAAAGATAAAGCTGTTTGTTGGTCTTCATAGTAATCATAGGGAAATTTGTTTTTACAGTGACATAATGATTGCTCATAACTATCAGAAAAATAAGGAAGATAACAGATGGCTAGTCATGTCATCAACATTTCTGGTAATCATCGCGTTTGCAGGTAAAGTGTAGCAAGAGGGATGTACAGCCTACACGAGGTTGAAAGAAGACGCTAATCAGATATACGTTTTTATTACACAACGCTAAGGTGTGGGGAGACAAAGAGATTTTTTTAGTTGTCCTAGAGATGTAATCTGTTTCATCTCTGAAGTTTTCTTGGTATCCTGGGTTGTTTTTTTTACCTCTAGATGCTGTTGAAGTGAACAATCAAAATTTACATACAAAGGGAGGGGGGCTGGAGGAGGGAAGGGGGAGGGGGAGAGAAGCAAGATTATGGATTTTTGATGACCTTGTTTTCATTTAAAAAATGAGTACATGTGTGTCTTACTTAAAGCATCTTTTTAAACTCTTGCATTCTTGCTATTTACTATTGATTATTGGTGTGTTACTTGTAGACATATGTAGTGCTGTTGAATTTCATGTGAAGCAAGATCAAGTGGAATTTATGTTAGAAGGACGAGTTTGAAACGTAGAGGCATGGTTTTTTAAAGGTTAAAAATTGCCTACCTCGTTATTACTCTTGAATGCAACAACTCCCCCCCCCAAAAAAAAACCCCCAAAAAACTGCCAAAATTTTCAAGAGACGGATTGCCTGTCTTGCCGCAGCTTGGGATGCCTGGGGTCGAGGTTTTAGTATGTTGCCACACTGGTGCCTGTAGGGTAGGGGAGCAAATTGTTATTGTGTCGCAAGATATTATGATTATTTTTAAAGCGTTTAATGCTACAGCGACAATAATTGAAATACCAGCCATACTTTGGTCAAGCCTGCAGCTGTGCAAGTACCTAGGAAATTATTTTTTGGGAAAAAGTAGATTTAAATATGAGATGAAATGTTGGAGTGCTCATATGACTTTATCAATTATGCAGTTGCGAACGCCGTAAAAGCTTTCTAAAACAAACAGATTTCAATTTTTTGTTGAGGTTTTTTTCTTTATCATCTCCTAAAAAGTTGCATTTTTTTTAAAAATGTGAGACAGTGGTTCGGTCTGCTGCACCTCGACCTGGATTCTGGTTATTTTTTGTCTGGGTTTTTTTTTTAACACAGAGGCTTGACCGTAATAATTCCATGAGAAGGGACTGCAAATCTGTAAGATAACAATGACTTGAAACAAGTGTGATGCCAACATTTATACACGACATATCATTTACATGTCTGATGGTTTTTATACTGCGCATTATTTTACTTTGGTCGGAGTTATATTTCATTTGCTGAACCATTTACACATTTTATTTGTTCATTTGATTAATTTGCATTTTATACCAGTGTCTTGATGTATAGAAAGTTTTTGTTGTTCAGTTTCGTTTTCTTTGTTTTGTTTTTTTAATTCTGAAATTAGTATTTATGAATA